AATGACTCATGAGCATAGAGTGCATACTGTAGCTAGTCTGTACTGTTTATAAAATAAAGATCAAGCCATTGTTAAAGTTTCTTCACCTAAAACATAAATATTGACATTGACAAACTAAAGACATTAATTTATATATATGAATAATTATGTGTTAAATGATTGTTACTAAATCAACTAAATTCATATTCAAAGGACTGACAAATGCACGACTTTAGGAGTTAGTTGTCCAAACTTAAAAATATTAGAATACACACACAGACCCACGCACACACACACACAGAGTCCACATATTCATATCTTCATAGACACTCTCCATTCCTTTCTATCTGGTCCCCATAATGTAAGAATTACAAACAAAACACACACAGTTATCTTCTGGGTTATGAATTTCAGTGGATGTTCTTTATTAGTGACTTGACTTCTGTTACCACTATTACATTGACTATCAGGCAAGATGCAGTTACACATTATTAAAACTAATCAAACCTGATTTAAATGATCAAAATTGTTTCGTGAGATGTTAAATTTGATTTGTATGTTAAATTAACATATAAAAAAGCAAAGTGTGTTTATCTGTGTTGATCAGTCAAACCAACATTACGTAATAAAGCGTAAATGTTTGGCATGGTATTATTTCCAGAATAAAAAAATAAAGAAAAACAAGCATACTCTGGTATACTGTATACTTGCACTTTGCTCAAAAGTGCCTCTTGTGAGCCACTTAAACTGAATCAGAAGGTCATTGTAAATACAGAATCTAAGGTATCAATTGCTCTTTAAGGATAAATGAATGAAACCCTTGATGTAACCAAGCTGATTAGTGTACATGGCACTCTCTGCAGAGGGTGTCTGACCCAAATGCTGATGTTTCCAGAAGTGTCCGTGGTGATAAGGGTTCATTAACCATGCCCTGCTCCTCCCCCCACACCTTTTGTGGTTAATCTAGAAACACGCAGCTCTGCTCAGGACCATACCCCCCTGCTAAGCCTGCCTTCTCTGGAAAGGAGGTAAAAAATACTGCCAAGAAAGGTAATTTGCGATGTCTCCAGCCTGGAAGCGGTTCCTGCAGTGAGGTGGGTCTGAGAGGGGTGGTTTGATTAACCCCTCTCTGAAGTAGATGCTATAAAATGTATCCCTGCAAGTGATTCTCCTTTCTAATGGGCCTCCCGCAGGCAATATCCAAAAAAACTGGAAGGATAAGATCTCCAGAAGTTCAAAAGAAAAGAATACTGTGTTGTCTAGATATGAAGGCCGGAGTACTGAATTGCGTGTGTCTGCATATGTAGCTCCTGTTAGCATGGAGATGCTGATGCTGTGGAGCCTGATGTCCTGTTACTGATTGCAGGCTTTCCAAAGGCCTTGACTGTTCCATCTCTGAGCCATGCCATGGTCTCCTGGCTACGCAGCCTGAGGTTCAGATCCCAACAAAGGGCCTCCAATCCTATTGGATGTCTACAGCATCCACCCCTGGTCATGGTCGAAAGATTGCCTGCCTTTGGCTTGTTCACATCATCACTTTTACCTTCTGGTGTTCTTTAGGGTTCAGGCAAATTATACAAATAAAGGCAACAGAGTATATTGTATAAGATTTTCAAAGGGGGAATCAGGTGTCATGTAAGTTGGTATGTTTCGGTAAGTGTTTGTCTGTTTTCCTACAGTCTGGGTCCATGTGGTTTTCTGAAGTCACTAATCTACTAATCTACTAACCTTTATTGGGCCCAGTGTATACACAGCTTACCTCTATGCCCCTGCCAGTTTCATCACATATGCCTGCATTTTTCAGCAAGCTCATATCCACCAATAACTCATTCTGCAAGAGATTAGCACTGAGTGTCATGATTTTAACAAAAAATGTGACAAGAACTGTGCCCATTGTTAGCAACTTTTCACTCTTCTGAATGACTCGGGTCTCCTTTTGACTTTGTGCTTGTTGGGTGTAAAAATGGATTATCCACAATCATCAATTAGTTCTGTCACACATCAAAGAGAATGTCTTTTCTTCTGCAGTACACGTGATTTCTTATTGCCGCCACTGCTGAAATTCTGGAGCAGAAATGTTCAATGCATCATATTACTAAACCAAAGATCAGGTAGGTAGTTATCTTTGCTAACTGAATTGCATTACCGTTATGGACAATGCTTTCAACTACAGATTCTTGTGTTCTGTCTTCACTTATACAGTTGACAATAGAATAAGATAAAGAAAGTGAATATAATTATAATGGCTTGGTGAGAAAAGTGAACACCTTTAAATCAGTTGAGTTTGTTACATGTGTACTTCAGCATAAGCTCTATAAAAGGGATAAGGATGTGCTGGATGTGATGGAGCTGTAGATGTTGTGAAACACACAATTAAAGAAGATGAGGGGGTGGGAGAGACTACAAGAGGGGAACGTCCAATCAAAAGGAGTGACACAGGGTTGTGTCTCTGTGGGTTTAGGGAGGTGGGCGGTCTGTCAGGCCAGTGCCTCCACACGTCCCCTTCATCTCCAGCCCTCAAATCACTCGGCTGATTTATGGGACACTTTTAACCATGGTGACTTCGTGGTAATGCTGGGGATGTGGTGGGCGGGTTCCTGTGTGGAGAGCTACACGAGAATTAACAATGGCGTTAGGGTGCAGAGGTCGTTCTTGGGGGATGGGGACTTTCACCTATCGCAGTTGCTGTGGTTGTCATTCTGAAAGATGCTGGTGGTGGGGGTCTTCCACGGGGAGGAATGTGATATAATAGTGACGTTATTTACACCACACCACCCCCAAATGTTTTCTTGTCACCTGTTTTTTTAACGTGTTGTTTCCAGATTCAGCAGCTGTGATCCTTCCAGAAAAGTACCTGTTCCAAAGGGATAGAAAGTAAAAGAAAAGTATCTGTTCTGCTTCTCTAAAGGGGAAAGGCTGATTTATTTTATTAATGCAGTGCTGTCACCCAATCAGCACAGTCACAATAAATGAGAGACTAAAGGGAATTTAAATTTTTAGTTTACATTTTCTCCTTCTGAAACCCATTACAGACTTTCTATTTCTGGGGTCCGAGCTCTATTGCCTAGAACAGTCTAACTGATTGTTGTTGCTCATCTACTCCTTCCATCTCTGTGCTCTGACAACAGGACCAAGCACAATGCAGAGAAATAGTGCTTTCCACATAGAGAAGTGCTGTGCTGGGGAATCTTTAATGCAGTTGTGACTTTGGTACTGACCATAAGGGCACAATTGAGTCTTCCTTCATGCACAGTATTTGTCATACAGCTTCTGTATTATTCCATTGGTTTCCCTCCCCCAAAAGCACCCGGGGGGCCATGACCCCCACTTATTCCCAGTGTTAGATATTTCAATTACGCAAATTAAGTTGTGCTACATGATCAATTTCCTTCATACATAATGAATTTGGGGAACCCCCATGACATTCTTTCTGCATGACATCTGCAGGAACTCAGAGACACTTTTTGTCCATCATGTGTAATAAGCTTACAGCCCTAAGATGAACTTTGTCATGCATCCCCCCGGTATTTTTGCCTTCGTGTGCAGGTGTGTTGCTAAAGATTTTAGGCCCCATCACAGCAAATCATATTGGTCCCCCTAGTCTAGACTAATCCAGTTATTTTCCATTTTTTTTAGGGCCCCTGGAACCGTCCAAACTCCCCCCCCCCCTTACAGCACCCCTGATAGTGTGTACACTTCATTTACATTTGCAGGCTTTTTCCCCTAACCAGTTATTTCTCCAAATATTCTGGCATTAAAATAATGTTTCATGAAAATGCTGTTTACTTTTACTGCATAATTCTGTACTGCTTCCTCCTACATTACATGTGCAAATAGGATAGTTAAACTGCAATTATGCATTATGCAATTAAATCTTAAATAGGCCTAAATTAACATACTCCATGTAAACAATATCACATTCTCATTTGTACTACTTTATTTTACCCTGACACACCAATTTATATCTAAAACGTAAAATGCATGAAAACTCTAAATCTTTTCCAACACACCTAAACCGCAGTCATTTATACAGTATAATAGTATCACCATCCAAAACAAAACAAAACAGAAACTTGCATGACAATGAGTCAAATATATCTGAAGTGGAATAGTCCTCATGATTTACAATAGTGCACCGAGTAGACATCTTGCTACTACGAAAAAAAAAAGAAATAAAAAAATCTGTGGACAACACAACAATACATGGAGTGTTTTACAGTCAGGATATAAAATTAATTTTGTACTATGGTGTTCCTCTCATGAGGCCAATACTTCAGAAATGCTGTCTATCCTGGACAATTTCATAGAGCACAGATCGATCGTATATCTTGTTTTTCCTCTGCAAACAAGTCTCCGTTTTACTTATTTATAAACATACTAAAAACGAGTGTTCTATTTTTTGCGGTCACGTATTGAATTAATTCTGACCCGTTGTAGGAGCAATAGGAAGTCTGATAGCGAGATGCAGGAGTCACTGATACTCAGCATTATTCTTCTGCAGCTTTCCTACTTGGGTTATCAAGGTACCTTATGTTCTCTATCATTTTCACTGCGTGCAATATAACGATGAACACGTGGCCTTATTATTCAATTACCCTCGCCGGAAAGGTTTTGCAATCTCAGAACACTAAGCGCTTAAAATTGCATCAAAATGATATTTTATCAGAAAAGTACAAAACAGCAGAAGTGAACAATAAATATTTAAATAAAAATGTCACTCGGTTAAGAATGGGCTATGACAATTTTTTGTAAATTAAGTGCGAGAGTATGGATTTGGACACCATCATATTTTTCAAATGAATTTTATTGTACAATTGATCAACAGCCTAGTTTTGAAAGAGATATAGTTACGCCAAAGTGATATAAAGATAGACGTACAGCACACGAAAATGTTGCTGTCTGAACAGTCGTGAAGCTTTTGGCCCCCAGTTCTTTTCTTGTCAACACATAGCCTACACACTTGGCAATTATAAAGTTTATCGAAATGCTAATAATGGTGTTGCTGCCACCCTCTATGCGTCGCAAACCGGGCCACATGATGAATTAATAATTAGGAAATAAAAATATGTCAGCTAGTTGTGGATGGAGAAATAAAGAAAGGAAAAAATAGGAGGAGGACCTTGAATACGACATTGATGATCGTTACTTAACGGACCAGTCTTGGTTCATTTAAAGTGCCGCTTATACCTTTTTGTCAACTTGCCCTTTAATTGTCTTACTGCCGCGTCCCAGCGAGTAGGAGAGAGTGAGTCTGCGGCCCGATGAAAGGACGGGTTGGGAATGCTGGGAATGTGGAGTGAAACCTGGAGACTGTGATGAGGGAAGCATCGCCGCTACAAACGGTACGAAATTACGCCTTACAGTGATTTATTTAATCACGACAAAACTGACGACTGCAATATAATTGCGTTTGCTTTTAAGGGATTAATGTGTGTGCAATTAAATTGACAAGTAAATACGATGCGAGGAATACTGTACATTCTCAGTAGATGCTGAGTGGCATAGCAAGAGAATGGCCAAAATTAAAGCATATAAACAGCAACGTGATAGTACGTTATTATTTATTGCATATATATATATACCTATATGTATTTTTTCCGTCATGGAAGAATAATGGGTGTGGAGGATGTAGACAAGCTGCATTTTCCACTCTCGAAATTTTCTATATAGTAAATCTTATGAACGCCGGTAGTATTTATATCGACTTTAGCACGGTGAAATAAATATTTTTGCCGTTGACAGTGAACGGTGTAGCTGTTTTGTGGCTTTGCTCGTTTAATTTAAAGGACCGTTGCCATAGCCTATCAGATGTGACAGCATGCTGTAAGGTGCACCTCCTTTCCAACCAAACCGGTGGAAGTTGAATGCTTGTGAATGGAGAGCTGGGTACCGGGATGCTACTGCCTGGGTAACACGTAAATGTGTATGCACAGCAGGAAATCTCGTCACGATTCCTAAAACTATTCAGGGCATATGTATTTAAAACATTGTTTTATTTACTTAAGCGTTCGCCTAGTTATTCTTCCATTCCCATGTTTGGATAATATTTGGACAAGATAAATTTAGAAGACATTCAACAGCGTTTTGTTTTATGCTCTGTATTCCTCAAGTGATGACTTTATCTGATATTGTCAGCTTTAAAATGTTCATGCCGAACCCAATTCTACTTATTGCGGTATATATTTCAGTAATTTGTCAGTAATATCGTAAGGGGAAATCTTTCGCTCATACTAACTAGATTCCTATTGCAATGACAGTCGTTGTGATTGACACCAGATTAGACCACTAAGCGTACAGAATGAAGACGCAAAATACGTGAGCAACCAATCATTTTGGCCAATAGGAGGGATTTTAGGCTCAGCCGTTTGCTACGAGTCTCTTCAAATCAGTGCCGGATGTATTTAACCCTTTAATGTAAGCTGCGAGAATACTTTTGCGCGAAGTAATGAATTTGTTACTCAACGTACGGAAATGGTGACTTTTATACACTTAGGGTTTCAATTCTGTGGTTGAACGTAAATATGAAAACTAAATATATAAATTAACGTGGAAAAAATGACTAGGCTATTTGCTGTGCCAGTCATTAGCTACTTACCATAGACAGTATGTTTTACGAAAACCCCGATGATTAAAGTTGGCAATTATTTCCACTTAGGTTTTTCTATAATTTTTAAATCAGAAAGGCATTTGGAATTTTTTTCCCCAAACGTACCTAGAAAAGCCGCAGCTAGTTTTGTACATGGATGTTCTACGCTGATCGTTAATGTGATTCTTAAACCTTGTTTAGCAAATTTAATTTGGCAGTACAGTGATACCTCAGTTCTCAAACTCACCAACCAGTTCGGAAAAAAATTACCTAGAACTCGATCTGAATCTCAGAAGTCAAACCGTGAACGCTGACCAAAGATAACTTGTACGCGGGGAAATGAGTCACGCAGCACATATCTCAGCGGAAACAAAGGGTAAAGCTTCAGTCTCAGCCTTGCATTCGCTGTGATAGCACCGTGCATTTTTACACTAGCTGAATACATATATTTAGACAGTAAAAATACATTTAGACAATGATAGTAACAGTAATTATTATTATATAATAAAATACATTTAAAAATAAAGATTGCTTATTCATTATTTTAATATGAATAATAAACAATTAATACATTTAATTATAATAATATTGTCGTGCTGAGCGAGACAGAACGGAGACGTCAGGGTATCGGGGAATACAGGGTTTAATTACAGGTAAAGCAGGCAAAACGCAGATGGACAATACAATGACCGGACTGGGGAAACAAACTGAAACACGGACGAAATAGAGAGGGCTAATGACAACAACCAGAAATAGCTGATCACATGGGGATTCCACACGGTGTTAACGAGGGGGCGTGGCACACGGAAGGAGCGGACGATTGGGGCAGGACACATTCTATTTTTTTAACTTTACACATTGTTTGGATACATTTATTTTCTTACTTTAAAAATTACTGTTTTGATAAATGTGCTTAGATGTGTTTAGCACAGTATATGCTCTTCTTGTTTTATCAGGTTCATTTTGCGTTTAAATGCTAAAAAACGTATTTAGATGTAATTTTTTGGGGTCGGGAACCAATATTTTGGGGTATGGGAAAGAATATAACAGTGTAACTGGCATACTTTCTGGATTTTGTTTTTACACGTTTCCAGCCTATTTCGGAATATTAAACTGCATCACAGGTCTTGTGTAGGAATATGGATCAATTTTACAATCGCTGTTGTCACGCTACCATTTCCCACACCAGATTCAGTCTTTTTCGTGTGCTCGTTGATCAAATTGTCTACATGCTAACTGTCCAGTCTACTATAGCTAATCCATCAATTTGCCTAACCCTGTAGAAGATGCCCTCCAAATTTAGCTAATTTATTTCTTGGGAATGTGTCTGTGACTTGTTTTTAAACTGGCAAACTTGGCACCTTAATATTATTCCAGTGTTATTTTGAAGCATACATTTCCTGTATGGCTTCTTCATTCTCTCTGCTGCTGGTATGTGCCTGGTCACCATTTCTGTGCCATCCATCTGCATTTTTGTATTGCAGTCATTACTTGTGTAATTCGGAGGTGCCAGTCCTATGGTTATTTCTGTACATTCCACTGGCCATAAGAATTATGAAAATATGTCTCACGTGTGATGCCAAAGGTATTTTTGCCATATACTGTATGCAGGTTATTAAATGGCCAGTGATGAATGGCCTAGTTTCCTGTCGCACAGTTCGCTGTACTTAGGTTTCTTTTACAGTTGACTTTGCTGTTGTCGGTTCTGTTCTGGACATCCCTTTATGTCCTGTTTTTACTTTGCCACACTGGCCTTTTAGCAACAATGCCATTTGTTGGAGAGATAAGTGTACAGGCAACCACACAGTTCTGCCGTTTAATTAGTTCAGTTCTGTTGTTATTTTCTGGATTGCCAAACGTGCTGAGATTAGTAAACTAGGTATATGTATTTTTCTTCAATCAGAAAAATGTTTTGCATAAAATAGTGACATACATAGTGAAGTGTTAATTCCAAAAACTGAATTTCTTAGTGGCCATACTTATTTCCTTTATTTTTTTTTGTTAACGTTTCTAAGAAAAATGAATAGATTTCCACAGCACAGTTTTCCTCAAAGGCTGAGACCTGTATATCACACTTAATGTATAATAGGTTAAACTATAATGTCGCATACATCAGTGCATTACCACAGAATAATTACACTTGATTTCCCTCTGATTGGTAGCTTCCAGGATAAGAACATAAAAACTATACAAACGAGAGGAGGCAAATTCGGCCCATCAAGCTTGCTTGGGGAGAACTTAACTAATAGCTCAGAGTTGTTAAAATCTTATCTAGCTCTGATTTAAAGGAACCCAAGGATTCCACTTGCACTACGTTATCAGGAAGACTATTCCATACTGTAACTATACATGCTGCGTAAAGAAGAAGTACCTTGACACTACAGTGCTTTATTCTACAGAGCTATTAAATTACAATATAGTCTGTGGTCTTTCCAGTATGAA